TTGCACCCCTACTAACGATGATAGCAATTAGTATTAAGAGAAAAGAACAAAAAAGGGGAAAACAACTGGTGCTACGGACAAAAGTTTGAGTTCTCTAATCATCCAGGGAGGTCATCTTAACCCTGACAGTGAAGCTGTCACTTCCTCTAAAACAACAAAACAATGCAAACAGTGGTTTGTACCCAGTGGCATGACCAAAGCCTGAACCAATACCAGTTAGTGTCCAAGTTTCCGGCTCTGTGGCTAAGGTCTAAAAAAGTCACCAGTGTCGTTTGAATGACCTGGGAAATATAATAAACACATATTGTTCAAGCATGGCAACTAACATTAAGTTTCTACAGCAGGTTTAGGGAGAGAGAAAGGAAAGAAAGCAGCATTATTTTGCTGTTCGCATCCTGTGGATTCACAAGGTAACGGTGAGAATAAATTCATTCTGAAAACAGCATTTCAACTAGACAAGGACAAATAGAGAGATTAAGAGAAGTCATGATTGTAAGAGAATTCATAATAACTATCTCCTTGGGTATGTCCAGACATAGATGCCTCGCCTTCCAGTGGAGCACATTCTGCCCACAGAGACATTAAAACAAAGGCCCGAACCACAAAACGGTGCTGAATCTGTCTTTGCGTTCAGTCTGCAACACTAGATCTTTTTTGAAACAAAGGATTTCCTTCCACACACGATTTCATGCTTGGACTGGGTTGTGCTGTTTTGTTAGTCTTTGCGATAAGTGACAAAAGCGCCATTTGTCATCGTCTCCCTTTGTTTGTTTTTTTTGTTGACAGAGTTGTCACAATGCACTGTAGGTTGTTTAGCTTAACACTCGTCACCTGTCAGCTCAGACACTGTATGCACTCAAAGAATCGTATCATTCTAAAGAATGCCAGAGTAGACTGAAAACAGTAATTTCAGTCTGCTGGAAATATCAATGCAAGTTTAAAAACATAGCCCGCAGACAGCAGGCGTCAATCACTACAGAAGAAAACAGTCCAATTTACTCCACTATGATGCGAAGAGAAGGTTGGAGAGGCCCCGAAAGGATCAATAAACCATTGGGTGCTGGATAACACAACCCTCCACTTCAACTCGTCTTTTCCTTCCTTTGTCTCCTTCTCTCCTTCTCGCTGATTACAAGCAAGAAAATGAGGAAGGAATAAGAAAGCTGCTGATTTTCACCTCCGCATCAAGGCGCTGCTTGATTGTGGAGTAGAAGACGCTGTAGCCATTTATGTAATAGTTACAGAATTAATGATGGGAAAAAAGAGCAATCAGGGTCCTTTCTGAACTTCTAACTATGACACGGGTGTCTTCAGTAGACACTTCAAGATGAGATGAGATTAGCTAGAAGGATATCAAACCACCAGTAAGGGCAGGC